GTGGAACATAAACCGTGAGCTAAAATTTGTCTCGCGGTTTACTTGCCAAGACATCCAAGTTCAGACGCCAAACCGGTCAGCACATATGATAGTATGATTTTGGTCGCGAAAATCAACTCAACCCGCGGCGTCCTTGTTTTTCAAAAGTTAATTATTTCCCAAGGAATGTTTGAGTCGCCAGAGGCCAATGAGAAGCGCTTATGCAGTATATCGATTAGAGAACAATCGCTAGAGGGTGGAATAACATGCAAGCGAATTCGACCAATCACATTGCAGCAATTTGCATATCCGGCAGGTCAACTGATACATATGCAAATTTAGATGGGCAGCCTTTGAATTAAGTTACGGTTATACTAAAACATCTCAGAAAATTCTAAAAATTCAAACTTACAAAAGGAACGGAAACTAAGAAAATTACTTGAACGACATACCTGCATAAGCAGGATGAAATTGAGGAAATTAATCAAAAGATGCAAGTGTCTACTAGAGAAATCAGGAGCACTAAAAGAAATTCTACTATTTCAATTCCTTCGGTTTATCGGGGTGAAAGTTATCCGCCGGTTAATCCTGAAAAATGAGTTATGTCAATAGTTCCTCGAAACTGTAAAATTGTAACTAAACAATGCGCCCTTTGCTATTTATTCAATCTTTGATTTGTTGAATCTCAATAACCCGCAGATCCCCAATTACATGTCATTATTGACATGATTAAAAGCAACGACCCAGAATTACGCACGAAAATTACAACAGTTAGCAAATGTTACGCTCAAAATATTTAAGGACTTCTATGTCAGAGACGGATGTCTCTGGATAGACGATAAGCTTGTGATACCGAACACTACACTCTGCACACGGTGGTGAAAAATAGACTACACTTACTACCACCACGGGAAGTCTAATATGTACGAAGTGGCCAAGGACATCTGGTATCCGTACATATATTACATTTAACGTCGATAGCAGAAAATTTCCGAGAATGCACAGTAGCCGGTAAATTTGAAAAAACATATGCCCAAAACTTGATGTACGGAAAATGTTTGAACCCAAAGAACCTAACGAGTCAGTACATTAAGATTTCTGGTGACCAATGAACTATTCGAACGAACCTTAAAATTAAGTTCTGATGGCGGTCGACAGTATTTCCAGGTGGTAGTCGGCCGTGGCTTGTACCTCAAAAATGTCCGACAAAACTCTAAAAAATTTTACGATAAAATATCAACACGCGACAAATTCGGGTGGACCATTGGACAAAATTTATGTCCATGGACGTAAAAAACTTATGTCGCCAAGAAGGGATCGAATTAATCGTCTCGCCAGTTAACGATCATAGAGCAACAGGACGCGTTGAATGAGCCATAGGCAGCCTCTTAAATTCAGTCCTCATGTCTTAGCGAGAAAAGAAATCGAAACCCTTGGAGAAAAACCGTCAAAGGATCCTCGGCACCTTAAGGTTTCCCCAAAACGCCACGCTAAAGCTAACACCGTTCAAAGCTCACCATGGGGGAGTAAGCTAATGCAGTTCTCAGAAATTTAACTAAAAAGCCGTCCCTAAGGAACCTAATGTGGGAAAAAGTAATCCGCTCAGAATCTGCTTGTTTCGATGAACAAGACCCAGACGCTTAATTGATACCACATCCGGTGGAGACAAACTGTTGAGTCCAGTCTGATGCCGCATACAAAGTAAATAAAAAACGTACGGCACCTATTGCGACTATCTGACGAACAGATAACTAACCAGGGGTGGAGCCAGATATCGGCCGAGCGCAGAATCACCGGCGCCAACAGCTCCTCCGGCAATCATCATGCAGCATTCAAGGTATCAAAACCTTAACAGGTATAAAATTTTAACAACCAAAAAAGAACGAAACTCGACATACTATAAAATGAGTAATGGTGCTGTTGTTAGGAAATAGGAAGTTGCATTGCGAAGAATAGCAACACCGAAAAAGCGAGCACCCGGGGTGGTTCAAGTTCCGCCAACACCACAGGAGGTGAAACGGAAAATGATGTCTAGAAGTCTTCCAGCACGAAACGCAAGCCATGAACATGAACATGAAACTCAGCCGAAAAAACAAGGGCGATCATTCTTCCGAGTCGGATTATGACGAAGAGCTGCCAATGGCATCGAAACGAATGCTGGCGAAGAAACGATCAACGGCAAGAGCACCGGAAGAAAGTACACCGGAGGAAGAACGAACGACCACTGAAACGCAGGAGGCTCGAGAGAAAGGCCAGGGGCCGAACTGGCGGGAGCGAGCGGCAGTCAGCGAAAAAAGTCTTACCGAAACGAGGATTTGACCTAGCGACTACGAAACGGCTACGGCGTACACGATTGAAGACAAATGGCAAGACGGAAATGGCAGAAAACTGGCGCGACGGAAGCGAAACGCAAACGCCAACTCGCAGACGACACTGCACCTACGGCGAAACGCAAACGCAGACGACACTGCACCGGCGGCATTGGCGGATATTCCACAGGCAGGATCTAAGAAAAAAAATTGGAAGCAATGGCTTGTTTCGTACTCAAGTCAAGAGTCAGCAAGCTCTCAAGGCGAAACGACTTCGAGACGTCCAGGGAGGAAGCATATGCTGTTAACAAAACGGGGGCTGCTATGATCGATCATACTCAGAATTCACATGGAGCAGAAAAATGAAGAATGAAAGTAAGAAGAAATGAATTTCAAAAATTGCTTATGTATTCCACGGAGAGGGCAGGCCGTAGAGCGGTCAAAAACTCAAATTTCAGTTATAATCAGTTGATATCAAAACCCAAAATTTAGCTAAAAATTTTCGTCATCAATCTACATTTCATTTCATCAAGAACTTTAATTTTCCACATTTCATTTTCCCGCAAGAAAGGAAATGTCATAGTGATTAAATTGAATTTAATCCAACTGTCTGGCGCTAACTGCTATTTAGCCTTTGGAGTTGTCTGCACCTTTAGTTGACCTCTATTTCATTGTCTCCGACTAGCTTCATGAATTGCAGTTTTATTCCCGTTCTGAAAATTACCTTATCGAAACCTCTAATCTTCAACAGTTTTGCTTCAAAATTTTGCTTCAAAAAACTAACAAAATTTTGTTAGGAAATTTTGTTACAGTTAACAAATTTTGCTGTGGTGACAACATTCTTTGCCATCTGTGCAATGACCACCATTACGAACCAAACTGTGCTTTGGATAGGCGAAAAATTTTGATGATGGAGTTACCTAATATTGAATTGAAGGTTTGAGAAATTTGTGGACCATGTTAGTGGGTTGCACGCGAACGAGGTCAACTGAACTATAGCAAGAATGTGGAACAGATTTCGAAAAGATGAGAGTATACGTCAGCAAAACACCCGGACATTCAAAAAAGTTTACAAGGCACCAGAATTATGGTTATAAACTCCCGAAGCGCGAGAAAACTTTCTGTATCATATATTTTTTCGAGGTTTCCTTTGGTTTAAAGAAAAAAAATCGTTCAAAAACTTCTTTAATTAGAAACAAGTAAGCTATAGCACCAATTTTGCCACACTTGTTGGAGGCGTTGTCTACTCAGCGCCACCTTAATTAGTGACTTTTGTCACCATCATATTTGACTTAATTTGACCTCTCGACACAATAACCCTTGAAAAAAAACTGTCCTGAGGTTTCTCCTTTGCGGATCGATATTGTCTCAAATGGTCCCTCGAGTTGAACGATGGCGGAGCAAAACGAAAAGCTTTGAAAACGGGTAACTTTTTTGAATCCTGAAATTAAGTGAATTAGTTTACGAAGTAATTCAAAATTTCAGCAATGAGAAGCTGAGATATACTTCTTGCAAGACCATCATAATTATTGCTTACCTCACGCATTTAAAAATTTCAAATCCAATGAACTTTTCTTTTTCTCGCAGATTTCCGTTTTCTATAGAAATAGATGGCTTCTTATTTGAACGAATTAGAACAAAAGGAAGCTAATCAGATCCTGATTATTTGAAGGTCTGATTCATATCCAGTCATTCAGATTCAGCTTTAATGGCAATTAAGATAAAAAAGAAGAAAAGAATCATTCTACACAAAAAAAAACAAAGAGGACGATCTCAATGTGAGAAAGGTACATACGGAATCTTTTTTCTACAAAATTTCAATCAGCTCAAATGTTTGCATATCTCTGTTCTACACATGTTAACGACATGAAGTTTTGCTCATGGGAATTGGCAGCTGATTTTGAGATAGACATAAGTATCTGATTGCTGGTAGCCACACAATAGAATTTAATTTAGCTCAATTGTTGAAATAGAGTAAATAAGGGGCTAATGGATGTGAGTTTAGCCCGTCTCCTAATTGAATGTCACACTTAGGGTCACCCTTTGCGGGAAGACCCCTGGCCAACTGGAGAACTGGGTGACAAAGGGGCACTTCCGGAGAGATTCAACAGTCCTCTATGCCGTCTCTTACGTCTAATACCATTTTTGCTCTTTTCAAGGGGTCGCAACAATAAAGGGTTACAATGACTTTTTCACTATTTGAATCCTCTTATGAACCATGCATTGATTATACTTTCACATTATTTTGTTTCTGGAAGCTCAAACAGAGGCCAGTGATCAAGAAAACAGGCTGTTGTTCATTCAAAATGAGCTGTGCAATAGATAAGCCAAGTTGAAATATTAAGATTCAATTTTAATTTTTCTACACAACAAATATCAATTCTAAGCGCCCTTGAACACATCAATTCTAGTACATTTCGGTGTCATCTTGAACACTTTCACAGCGATCTCTTTAACTACTTCCCCCGTACCTAGTAAGGAATAAACACCCTTATAAAGAAGCTGATTCCACGGTTAAGCATGTGTGAAATTTGCATCTGATAACAAATCTCCCCCTTTTTGTAAACTAGGACTTTCACAGTCCGACCAAAAGAGCAAAAATGTGTCGGAAACATTCAATAAACACTTGTTAGGACCTGAGTAGATTGCCGAAGAAAGAACAGGTGTCCATAAACAGACTCAATAATTGTGAAGAACTGAAAAAATACTTACTCAGTTCAGGGGAGATTGAGGGTGCAACTGGGGAGGATTTCTTGAACTGGAGAGAGTTCTTGGTGCTTTTTGGGTCCTGGAAGCTAGCCACACAGCTCAAATTGCCAGGGTATCCCTTGGTCACGTACTGCACTGGTTCTGCCTTCACATCAATCAGGTCTAAATTACCATCAAGCGTGTTAGCACTTTCTAAATCAGATAGGACCAAAACTTATGTTAAAACAGCTGATTGTTTTTGTCATTCAGAAACTAATAAACCAATGTTTACTATTGCAAGTTTCATCTTTGCATCGTTGGAAACATTCAGCTCGACAAAGTGGTCTGGGTGTCTGCATCTTTTGTCCGACAATGACTAAAGAAGCATTTGTGTGCAACTCTTGAAAAACAATGATTAACAGAAACGGAGTTTGTTTGGAAATGGTTTCAACTGGAGGCTAATTTTGTGCTTGATGAAGAGATTACATGGTGCTGTGAGAAATACGTCTGCATGGTCGGAGGGCGAGAGAGTGTTGCTGCATCTGAATTGACCCTTCAGTCTTCTTATCACACTACCCTCTTGCTCCCCCTCCCTCTCCCCCTCTCCCTCGTCATCGCCAGTGACCCTTCCAGCTTCCTGCTGCAGTGCACCGGTCCCACTAAAAGTTCCTGGGTTCCCGCCAGCTGATCCAGCCGGACCTGGCACACTGACCACCAGAACACTTCCCCCCTCTTGCACCCCCACCAGCCCCGTTCTGTTGGCCTCCAATGGAGCCTCCCATCTAACAGACGTGTCCCCCTTGTCAGCTAAAACACAACCACATCGTGTTGCAGTGCTAAATAAAATTATCCCACAAACAAAAAATAAAATAAAATTGAAAAGCGTTTTTCTGAAGTAAGGGTAATTGTAGACAAAAAATGATGAAGATAAATCTGGCTAAAATTTGAGCAGAAATTAAATAATGCAATTGGGGGCCTAGTATTTTACCCCAAAAGCGATCTTTTTCGAAATATCTTTTTTTTGAAACTCGGAGTTAAAAAACATTCGAATTTGAAATTTAAAGGATATTAGTTTTTTGGGTGATTATTTGCTATTATTTAGATGAAAAAACCAAATAGCAAGGATAAAAGGAGTCCTTGAGAAGCAGGGAACATTTTATAGTTTTGATTTAGAAAAATTAAATTTATTTACTAACTATTTTTTGTATTTTCTATTCAATTTATTTAAATTTTACAAAAATTTTAAAGTTACTGCAGATTTTTTGAAAATAAACGACTGATCTAATTCAGTTTGGTAGTAAATTACTACTAGTTATATGTCAATGAGAGATATATGTCTTGGAAATGAATTTTACTCCCCCAAGTAATTTATTTCATTTTAGCGAATAAAAAAAAACTGCATTGAGAATTTTGTAGAGAAGTAGTAGTTACCGTCAGCCTTTTTGTTTCACAAAGTAGAAGCTCGGCCTGCTATTCGGTTTTGACCTGGTATTAGCTTGGATTCTTGTTGGTATTGATTAGACTTATTGAGACGTGGAGGTAAGTTTTCAATACTACTGAACATTTTGTGCTGTTTTTGGATCTTATTTCTATTTTGAGTTTGCTAAATCTAAATATGTAGAGGTCTGTTCGAGATTCTTGGTCGCACCAGATGAGTTCAAGTCCGGGGTTACTCCCTCATAGATTAATTTCAGATAAGGTACATCGTTTGGTCGTCACGCTATCTTATTTTCGAGCGGATAGATTCGTGCAACTTCTTAGTCTAATACCAATCATAACCTTTCTCTGATATCTCCTAGTCTCAATAGACCTAGTGGATACTAATATTTGCGAGGCTAGATATCAGGAATTTCTCTGGAGAAGATCAACTGTTTGCTAAGTTGAATTTCTTCTGTTCTGGCTGAAACTATAAACAACTTCAGCCCTAAAATTTTTGTAAGTCTGGTTTTGGATCATGGTTGGTTAGCTCTAAGTGTTTAGAGAGATAGTTTATCAAGAATATAAACGGATAGAATAAATACTGGTTATGAACTGGTTCCACCTATCCGGGGTTTAGAAATCTTTTAAATTTGATATTTGTTGTTGTGAAGAATGGATGAAGAAGTTTCTTGATTTTTTGGTGTGGAGTTTTTTGAAGCACTGGTTCCGCGAAGGAAGAGAAATAAACAATTGCTCGTGTTCTGGAGTAGTTATCTTCGTAGCGAGCAGGAATACAGTTGCTCGTGTTTCAGAAGTGGGTTTCGTGTATCAATGTCGGGTTGAGTGGTCGCGTCAAGATTTCAGGTTTTTACAAAGTTGTGTTGAAATCATAAGTAGAGCGAGACACGTACATTCTCAACAATGCACAAAAACCGAGGTAGGCTTTTATTTCTCTCACCCGTGTGAAATTTCAGAAGACTAGAAATCGCATTGAGTTGAACATTGAGTTGGCAATGGGTACCTTTTCTGCGATAATGGTTCCATATTTTAAAACCTGTGAGAATTGTGACTACCGCAACAAACCAATAGATTTGCTATTCCAGAGTCGGATTGTCATCGAGTTTCATATCCTTTTGCTGCTCGTTATTTTCGCTCTACGAAAATTTTTTACAATATATATTTATATCTGCTTCTTGTTTGTGAGATCAGTTTTAGTTATGATTGTTACTAATCGTTTTCGCCTATTTTGAAGAAACGCTCACCCTAGAGCTGCTCTCGTCAACAAAGTCGAAAGTGTGTCTTAAGCGTGGCTTAGCGCGGTGGATGAGGCCGGCTTTAAAGCATGCTCAGTGCGTCCTTTATAGGCCAGTTGCAGGAGTATAATCTTCTCGTCTCTTTGAGCTGAGTACCTTTTCGTGTTCAAACTTTTGTTCTTTTTATCAGGTGTTTTTCTCTTTTGTTCTTTGGTTGTGTCTTTTTTTTTAAAAAGCTGATGGTTGAGATTTGTGTAGTTCTCAGGTAATTTTGTGTTTCAACTGATTTTAATAAATTTAAAAAGCGAGTTTTAAAAGAATAATTTATCCAGTTTTAATCTGGGCTTTATCAGGTTTCGGTAGCATGAAATTATCTCATACATGCGGTTGGTTTTGTGGCATTCGTAAGCTGCGTTGGTTAGCTTAAGCTTATTTAAATGTCCTTCCAACCAAAATAAAAGAAAGTTTTGAAAACGCGTGAAAGCAATTTAAAGTTGTTAGCAGTTAGTTTGTAAAGCTAGAAACTCTTTTAATAAACAATTCTACGGCAGCGAGTTACTCAATTTAAAAAGAAAAAGCGCCTGAAACATGGGCAAATGAATTGAGAAAAAAAAACTAGATAAAGAGTAACACTCATAGTAACATTAGTTTAATTTTCATTAATATTTTACTTCTTCGTAATTTGAATTTACAACATTTCTATTAAATTATTGCTTTTGTATTGAATTTACACTGATTTGGTTTATGACACATAGTTAGATAGATTAGAAAATGGAAAATTTAGTTAGAGTTTGGTTTTTGTTTTCTTTTTTTTTTGTTTTAATCTTTTAGATGAATGACTGGTGAAATCTAAAAAAAAAAGAAACAAACGTATAAAATGGTGAGAGTTTCCTTTATTTGTATAAGTAGTAACATAAATTCATACTTACGAAGATTCGGGGTTTATGACACATAGTTAGATAGATTAGAAAATGGAAAATTTAGTTAGAGTTTGGTTTTTGTTTTCTTTTTTTTTTGTTTTAATCTTTTAGATGAATGACTGGTGAAATCTAAAAAAAAAAGAAACAAACGTATGAAATGGTGAGAGTTTCATTTATTTGTATAAGTAGTAACATAAATTCATACTTACGAAGATTCGGGGTCGGGAAAACTTCCATGGGGAATGTTAGTTTTAATAGTGTCGCAGAATAAAAAAAGCTTGGCAAGCATAAAAAAAGCTTGGCAAGCTTGGCAAGCATGGCAAAGCAGTGTCCAAAGATGTTTAAGTGCTCGGATGATATTGATTTCTTCGGTGACAGCTGAAAATTCGTGGTTAAAATTTTGTGTGACTTTGTAAAGTTTATGGTTAAGTTTGAAATTATGAATGTTTTCTAATAAGGCAATTTCGATATAAGTTTGTACTCATGCGCGATAATGACGGGGAGGGAGTCTTCAAGCGGGAAGTTGTTAGTTAGGGGGCAAAAGATGTACATCTGTCTTCCAGGGTCGAGGTTAAGGAGGATGCCGCGTAAGTTGGTGGAATTGACACAATCTATGAAATTTAGGAAGAAAGGGGATAGTATATTTAGAGTTAATGAGTATAAAGCAATGACGAAGATTGCGAGAAGGTGTTTGTGAAGATAGTATGGTTGGATGAAATTATAATAATTACAAGTGTGTTTTACTTTAGTTTTCAACATAATTTCATGTGAACAGTTTATATCTCGTAACTTCGGTGTTAGAAAACTAAATGTGAAGCAAAGTGATCAAACTTACTGAAAAATTGCTCATTATTTTTTGTGTTCGTTCGTGCGTTGTCGATAATGTGGTCAAATTTTTTAATTAGTACTATCGAGGTGAAAAATGTATTCTGATTTGATACTTTTGGGTTACTTGTGCGTTGGTGTTAGGGTCAGTGTCACACTGGGAATCTTCCATTTATCGGAAGACAGTATGATCGTAGTGATCAATAGAATAACTGATATTTTTTTGTGCAATGAATCGTTTAATCGATCTAATCCTATATTTTTTTGATTGAGTAAATTGGTGATTTATTGAGACGCAAAGTTCATAGTCGTCTGTCTTCTCTCTTAGGGGTACTTTTAGTCGGTTAGTGAATTTTCGGTTTGATACCCATGAAACGGTTGGGAGTAGGAAGTTTTCATCGATAATTTGTGCTCGTTGGGCTGAGTTATCTCCGTTGAATTAGGTGTATTGGATGAAAAAAAGAAGGGTGTATTAGTATGATGTGGGTAATGAAAAAAGTGTCGAGATGATGATGTGCGTCCAATGCAAAAATGTGGTGTAGTGTTGGGGTGTTTTCGTTTCATAAAAAATCTGTGTGCGCGCGTAGGGGCAACGTGGACAGAAGGGATAGAAGATTCGGAGGTTGGAGCTGAGTGCGTTAGTTGATGAATAGTTAATGAGTTATTGGAGTTTGTTGCTGGTGGGTAATAAAATCATCTAAATTATGCTCTAGCTGGTCATCTGTGATGGTACTATGTACATCGGGTATATTACTTGAAAGAGGGGAAGGATAGGGGTAGCGTCAATGTGCGAGGAAGAAGAGGTAAAAATTTTAACAGGGGTAGAGGAAATTTGGTTTGAAAAGGTGGTTGAGAAAAATCAGTGGGATTGGGCTCGGAGTCTAGGAATTCATCGGGTGTGTCGACTTCTGATTTATTAAAATTAGAAATTGTATTACAAGTTGTTTGATCAGAGTCATCAGAGTCCATCCGTTGTGAATTAGAAAAAAAACTGGGTTGGTGGAACAGGTGAGGTCTGAAGTTTCAAGGAGGGAACTGTGGCAATGGAGATGGGATGGATAGGAAAGGGTCCTGTGTGAGATGTAGGGCTGTATTGTAAGTTACTGGTTTTTATGATCCGTTCGGTGGTAGAAAGTGTATTTCTATCACTTTGTGGGATTACTGATAGAGTATAGTTTTTTTGTAAACTGTGTAAAAGTGATGATGCTGTAGGTGTAGTATTTTTTTGTCTTGCGGATTATCATGTGTTTGTTGGGCAGATATTTTTTTGTATTCTCTAATTTTTCCTTCAAGAAAAATTTTGTTAGAGGTGTAAGAAAAACTAAAAAAACCTGCGAACAAAGTTGTGCTATTGTAGCTTGTCTATTGACTTGTGTATGTAATGTGCATG